GTCTGATAGTAGTACATAAATAAAAGTTTTTTTTCCTTTAAAAAGTCCTTTTTTTAAGTTTTTTTCTTTTTTACTATTATATATATATATATATGGAAAAGAAGAAGAAAAGAGGAGGCACTTATAGCCTAGTAGTTGGGGAATATTCATAAAGGGAAAAGCTAAAAAGTTTTTTTAGTCAGCATAATGAAGAAGGGCTGGTAAAAGAAAGATGAAAGAAAAGACTACTTACTTAGGGATAGCCGCAGTGGGTGGCCAAGAAGACTTGGCGGTCAGCGGTGAAAACCCATTGAAGGTTTTGATAAAACTGGACGCGATCCTCGATTTCGCCGAGAGTCGAGGCGGGATACTTATTGGCCAAGTGAATGAAATCGTTGGCGACATGTTGGAACATGAAGAGGAGGTCTTCCTCACGATAAACTTTAGTGCTGAATGGATGCGGGTTGGAACCGACAAGGCGATTTCGAATAGTATTGTAATCGAAGTCCATCATTTCTTGAGCCGAGGGGTCGGGATTGACGGGATTGGTTGGAGGACGAGCCTGTTGCGTGGAGCCCCACTCGGTGGTCGGGCCGAAGGGAACTGAGTCCGGATCGGAACCGGAGGCGGAATCGTCGTCGACGACCATTGGGTCATCATAGGAGTTGCCAGACCCTGTGGCAACAGGTTGTGGTCTCGGGCGGGTGGCGTAAAATACCTCCGAGGGCGGAACGGAGCGCATGTCGGAGGAAGAAGGGGATGGAAAGTCAGACGAATGTGGAATGGAGGGTGGACCAGAACTTGGGGCGCTGGAGTTAGACTCGGATCCAGAACTGAAACCGTCGGAGATTTCAGAACTGGAGGAGTCGGAAGCAGAGGCGGAGCTACCGTCGGTGGAGCCAGGATTGACGAAGTCGGGGCTTCTGAGCCCAGGAGGGAAGTTTCCAGCCGAGGGAGTAAAAACCGGGGACCAACGACCCTGGATCGGATAGAAGTTGATCCCAGTCTGCTCCTATGTAAGGAATAAGAAAAAGTGGACATTAGTATCGATCATGAGCAATAAGCAAGGGGAGGGAGAAGACTTACCAACGAAGGATCGACATGTTGACCAGCAATGCTTGATTTCGGAGCCACGGAAGATGGGTGGATCTGTAGAGATTAAAAAGAAAAGACGTTAGTGCAAGGAAGAAAGGTGGATGAAAAAGAAGGAGGCAACGAACCGGTATGGGAGCCTTAGTTTCTGGGGAATTCACCGGGGTGAAAGGACGGATCGGGCCCGAGACCATGAACTTGTTAGCATGGAGCTCGGTAGGGGAAGTGGCTGGGCCAGCCGGAACGGCCTGAAAACCCTGAGACACGGGACACCAACGAAATAAAACACCATCAGTGATAGAGCAATGACTGGTAAAGACAAAAGTGAAAGGGAAAGACTTACCGAACGAATGACCGGGGCGCCATTGGTGGCCTGTATAGAAGACAAAGAAAGGAAGTGGGTCAGTTATCAGGAAACATAATGGTGTATAACGATCGAGAAAGAGGAAGGAACGTACCTGGGGCGGACAGAATGGAGTCTCGTTGGAAGCCTGAGCTTTTGAGCTGCGGGTAGTGACCATGGTGAAAGATTGGAACAAGAGTAATGGTTTTCGAAAAGTGATTTCAGATGTGGATGGGATTGATGTCGCTATTGGATGAAGAGCTGGGGAAGAAGTCGAGGAGGACGAATCGAGTCGGCCTTTATATACTGGAGGCTGGAAGGGAAGGACGTTGCGGCGAAGTCGAGTGTTCCCTGGGGGACCCCATTGACCCCCCTGAGGACTGAACCGGTTAAGCATAACAAAGAAAGGAGAAAGTGGAATACCTTTGGTGGGCGATATCCGGATAAAGATATAAAAAGAACGAGTCGCAAGTCGTAAGGATCCACCAGCAAAGGAAGCGGGTTGAGGAGGAATATGCAGGGTTGGGCTAGGGAAAGGACAGAGCCGGGTCGATGTCGAGCTTGGGAGAATGCACTACCGGGTCAGGACCGGCGAAGATGAAGGAGGATCGACAGGTTTCTTTGGCTATGGATGGGAAGAGAGAGCAACAAACGCGGGTCGATGGTTTTTTTTTTTTTGAGAGGACGAGGAAAAGAAGGGTAAAGTGGGGGGATCGACCAGGAAAGGAAAAGGGTGGCTACGGCTAGTGAGGAAGATACACTGTCGGACCGACAAAGATAGAGAAGAACCGGAGTCAGGCCAACGAGCTTTCTTAGACCAAACGCTACCGGGCCGAGAAGGGGCAAAGGAGAGAAGATCGGCGAAGAAGACCGGGCGATTTAAGAGGCTGGGAACAGTGATGTAGATGGTAGCGCGGCGAGCTTGTAAAGGCATAGTCTGCGGAGAAAACACCAATATCGTTAGCGAAGGGAAAAATGGGAGCGAAGAATTAAGACTTACTAAATTGAGGATCCCATAGCCGAGAAGATCGCCGCGGAAATCGTCGGGGAGATCGTCGAGAAGATTGGTTGATAGACGGAGAGTCGAGGTGGGGAAGAGATTAGAGGAGAGAAAGGAGTTGAGAGATGGGATATCCGCTACCGGGCCGGTGCAGATAGGCTGGGATATAGTCAAGAGAGGTGAAAGGCTTGTGAAAGGTCTCCGAGACGGAGAAAGGCTAGAAAAACGGATTGGGAGCGGATGGCGCGATGCGCGCGCAGCAACTCGAGCTGAAGGACGTGAAAGGTGCTGTGAAAGGTGCGCGAGAAATACCACACCCAGGCAACTCAAAACTTCAAATTTGGAGTCAAACCAGCGGACCCCAGTTCCAGTCCCCAACTAGGCAAAACCAGCTACACCTACACACAATTCACACCAAGGACATGGGTTCTAATCCCACCCTTGAAGAAATTTTATACACAATAAATCCTGGGTTCAATTCTCACCCAAAGAGTAAATTTCTGAGAAATAAGAAGGCACTCTGTTCAATTCTCAGTCTCAACCAAAAAAAAATTGGCTGCAAGAAAAATAAAATAAACATTATCACAGTTTATTATTATATTATATTATTTTATTGTACTATACAAAATATACAAGGTTTAATCCTTCAAACACAGTCATAAATCAGAATTGACTGGGGACAGTCAATAAGTTGGGGGAGGATGTGGTCATTATTCCTGTGTATGAAGGGATAAAAATTCAAAATTTTATTATTTATCAATGAAGGACTCAAGATACGGATAAATGGACGTCAGAAATGGAATCTACGGCCAATTTAACCCCTAGTCACTCACTGGAACCACCTTCATATCTCTACTGGATCAGAAGTTACGCAGAATCAAGGATGTCACACGGGGAATCACAGGATCAGAGGCACTCAGCTGGAGGGTATAATGCATGGGGGTATATTGCATATTGCATATTGAATTCCTTTTATCCATTTTGAATTCCTTTTATACTTACATAACCACAAGTTGGCCACCAGTTGTATCAGTTAAATTCCCATTTATTCAGCCACAGAACACATGAATTCCTTTCTTACAGCTTACATATAAAAGGAATGCGGTGTAGATAGTCTAGCCAAAATCCCTCAGTATTTTCAGGTACAGGGCAGCTAAAATGCCTCATACAGGGGGTCCCTTGGGGCTAAAATCCCTCATATTTTACTATATAAGGAGGCCTCTGCCTGCCAGTTGTTTCCCTCCTCATCCCACTCAGTACACATTTTTGGTGGGACACCTGTCACAGATATTTATTACACAAGAGGTTCACAAGTAGTACAGTTCACAGTTGAAATATATACACAGTTTCACAAACATTACACAGAAGAACCAGTCCTTTGTTCCAGTCCTGGTTGAAGCATAGTGCTCCCAGTCCCTTTGGGTTCAAGAACCACCTCTATTACATATACAGCATTAAGGAAGAACACAAGTATCAAGACATCAAGACGAGAAACAACATCACCAACTCAATCAATTCTTTGGACAACAAGATCAACCTTCAACAATTATACAACCATCTTTGAACATAATCCATTATCACCAACCAAACTGCCAAGCTTACCTTGGTGGTCTTGTTTTCTGATAATATAGAAAGGCAGAGTTTGCAGCTCATTTCATCCCTTTCTCCATTCAGCAAAAAGGATCTTACAATCACTTTTTGAGTCTTACAGCGGCAACGGAGGAAGAAGATGCTCTTGAGTTGAAAGCTATTGCGGCAAAGTTGAAAGAGATGAAGGAATCGGGCCGGGAGAATGGTGCGGCAGGCAACAAAGAAATGCAACCATTGACTGAAGAAGACCAACCCCGTTGTGGTGGTGAGAGCACGCCTGGGCCAAAGCTTTGGCCGGTTTGTTTGGGGGCATGCGGAATGCTCGCGGCGCTGATGCGGAAAGCACACGGAGCTGACGCTACACAAGCAGGCTGAGGAAAGCAGCGGTGCATTAGCGGAAAGTCTAGCTTTCCGAGGCGCGGGAAAGCGGGGAAAAGTAGACCGAGTACACAAGGTTCTGAAAAGCTTACTGCGGGGAATCCGGGCACCGGCGGACACCGGGGATCACGGCCGACTGCGGAACGGGGGTTCAGCGTATACTGCGGAGGGGCTACAAGGAGCGGAAGCGGGGTTCGGAGCGGACCAGAGGCGGAAGCGGCGGTGGGAGACCTGCTTAGGAGCGGCCGGAGGAGTACCTGGACCGACAGGCATCCGAGGGGTGACATGCGGAGTCCGAGGGGGTGACAGCGGATGACATCGCGGGAAGCAGGAAGGGACTGGAGTGTGGGATACTTAGGAGGAGTGGAGTTCGAGGCAGAAGAGGGGGGAGAGAGGGGGACTTATGACTCAGAAGACATCAGAAAAACAGAGTGACTTAGGAGTGAATCGTGTATTAGCCTAAAGAATTGTTAGAGATTAAATAGAGTTAGAGTATTACCTACAAAAGACAAACAAAGAGTGTTATTTTACCTACCTACAAGACCATCAAGCAAGTTACCCCGGACAACAAATCGAAGTAAGACGCGTTGCGGAGCGGAGAAGTACAGGAAATCCCCTAGGGCGCGCCTTTCTTTCCACACTGTGAGCCGAGAATCATAATAGGCGGCATTGATGAGCGAAACATAATTGATACTCCTAGGGTCAGGAAGCAGGCCTACACGGTGACGGTTTCGATTGAACCAAAGAACCACAAGGAGGCTATGAAATGGCCAGACAGCCAACTGTGGAAGGAAGCCGAGCTCAAGTAAGTGAACAACATGAACAAGCATCAAATCTGGATAGTTCGGGTGCGAGTGGAAAGTGACGACCCCATTCCTGCGACCTGGGCTTATTGAAAGAAGCTGGGCTCCGAAAATGAGGTTATTGAATACAAGGCTCGAATATGTGCACAAGGTTTTCGTCAAACTCACGCATTAAACTTTGAAGCAAAATACGCTCTGACAGGCAAGCCATCCTCTCTGAGATTTCTTCTGTCATTTGCAATCAACAACGGATTGTTAATACATCAGCTGGATGTAAGAAGCGTGTTCCTTACGTGTCCACTTGAGGACAAAGTCACGCTTCTCCCTCCGCCTGGATTTGACTGTCCGCCAAACTATGTCCTGGATCTAAAAAAGGCCATCTATGGGCTGAAGCAAGCGCCTTTAGTCTGGTACAAGATGTTAACAAACTATCTGAAGACACTGAATTTCAAGATTGCCATCTTGGATCCGTGTGTGTTCTGGAGAGAAGAAAAAGCTGGACAACCGGCTACTTGGATCTTTGCTCACGTAGATGATCTTGTCATAATCAGCCCAAAACCCGAAGTATTCAAAGCTGAGATGGAGCGCAAGTTTGATATCAAATACCTAGAGATGGCCATCAGTACCTGTTGGGAGGTACCTGCCACACTTTCAAAACAGGTTCTCCACATTACCAGCCACCAGAAATGCAGGTGGAGTGTCCAGTACAAATGCCATATCATCATTTCACCCTCTAACTGCATAACTGGTGGCTGGTGTTCTGGATAGCATGTTGTGAAAGTGTGGCAGGTACCTCCCAACAGGTACCGATGGCCATCTCTACAAATACCCAGGCGAGGCTGTCTTTCTCCTAGGTATGAACATCGAACGATTCAAGAACAGCTTGCAGATCAATCAAACCCAATACATCGACCGAAAATTGAATGAATTTGATCTCACTTCATTGCATCCAGCGTCATGTCCTCTCAATCCAAGAGAACATCTCAAGAAGGCTACGATCAGCAAAATAAACCAGTTTAACAGGCTAGATGTCAACTACAGAGCACTTGTAGGGTCTCTAAGCTATCTGAGTATCTTAACTCGCCCTGATATCTCATTTGCTGTCAGTACACTGTCTCAGTACTTGGAAAAGCCGGGAATCAAACACTACTATGCAGCTTTGCAAGTCTTTCGCTATCTAATGGGGACGAAAAAAGTGGGCTTGACGTTTGTGAGGGAAACGAATCCTGTACCTCAAGCCTATGTTGATTCCGACTGGGGAAATTTTCCTGATACTAAAGATCCACCACAGGCTTTGTCGTTCTAGTAGGCAAACACTTCATCAACTGGAAGTCAACCAAGCAAGCCACAGTGTCGCTCTCAACCACAGAAGCCGAGTATAAAGCACTCTCAGACCTAGGAAGGGATCTAGCGTGGTTTGCAAATCTAGCCACGGAGACGGGAATCTTCATCAACCTGAAGCACATGTCAGTATATGTAGACAACCGTGGAGAAATAGATCTCGCCAATAGTGAAACCTCTCAAAACAGCTTCAGAACAAAGCACATGGATATCAGACTACACTTTGTCAGAGAACTGATCGAAATGGGTCTCATAAAAATTCACTACGTAAAAACCACCGCAAATGGATCAGATTTTCTTACGAAGTCTCTCCAAAGAGCACCAATCAAGAGATCATTGGCAGTGCTTGGGGTGATCCAAATCTCAGAGGCTGCTTTAAATCTAACGACTAAAAGCATGTCAGGCTGTAAGATTATAGGCACCGGTGACATGGCTACAAACCACAAAGTGGCTAGGAAGCTGTCACAAGACTTAGCTGTGGATATCTGTAAGCATATGCATACATGATTGAAGCACCCACCGTCCTGTGTTGTAAACTGAAATTCAATCCTATTGATTACAGCAATGACAACAGCGAACAGGAGGAAGAAAAAACAGAGGACCAAACAGAAAGGAATAGAAAGTAACCAACCAGGTAAGCTTAACTAAACCAACTCTGGAGGTCTAAAAAGGAATAGAAAAACTTACAATAGCATTCTATATCTTCTCCTAGTTGTTAGTGACAGGGAAGAAAACAGGAGAATAACCAAAGCCCATCCAGCAGGAAAAGGCAACGGTAAGTCTGACTGCAAGAAGTGATCAGATTGAGCTACGACACTGAGGAGGCGCAAGCTGATTTCTCTTTCACATAGTGAAATCCAGCACGCTACTCAATCATATTTGCTAAAGGAGGAAAGGATCATTCCTAAAGACAAACCAGTCAGAGAAAGATTTCATCAACTCTATATCATTCTCATTGTTATCATTTCAACTATCTCGCTCATCATCTCTTTATCTTCACTCCTGCTCCTAGGTTTGTTGCTGTTTATTCTTTCTCTTTTTCTTATTGCTATACACTTGTGTCTAGTCTTAATCTAATAATATGAAATCTAGACTTTTGGATTCTTTCAACAACTTGATCAAACACTTGTGGAAAAAAAAGCTTGGAGGGATGATTGTTTTCCTTCATCACTGTATTCCTCTTGCCTGTTCAGCTTGGTTGCTCAAATTTGTCTCACTCTCTCATTTTATTGCTGTCTTGCTTTTGTAAATAAACACAATGAATGATTTTTCTCTTTCTTCTGATCATTGCATTTTTTTTTCTCACAAATGAAAGATGATTTGATTAGGCTGCAAATGGCCGAGTGAGTTGATTTGAATTGATAAGAAGAATATATAAAATCACAAATCTGGGCAATCTAATATTGCTCTTCTCTTTTTTTTCCAATAGGCCTTTGTCTTGTTGCCCATTCCGGTCAGATCAGTAGACATAATGTGATCGTTGGCAGCCAATTTCATTCCAGCTTTAACTGCAATTGATTGCTCTTGAGACACCTTGACCATTTCCTCCTGCATCTTGAGGACGTTCTCCAGCATGAGGTCCTCGTTGCGCTTCCTTTTGGCTGCTTTGTTGCCATCGGGTCGGCTGTCATCACCAAGAACACCATGATTGTACCCATCGTCTTCTTTGCCAGGACCGTCAGGAGGAGGACTGGAAGGATTTGTACCATCCGTAGCTGGAGTCAGGCTAGGCTCCTTTGGCTCTTTTGATTTTTTTGCTTTCAAGTCGTTTTCTTGTTTAGTTGCCAGCCACTTTGGGGTATCTTTCAAGATACCCCAGCAGTGGTCTAGGTTGAACATTGTGTCATACTGGACTTTTTAAAGCTCTTTGGCCTTGGCGAGCTGAAAGGCAGGTATATTAGAAAAGAATCTGATTTGAATTGAGGTGGATCAAAAACTGACCACATCATCTTGTGTTTTTCCACTAGATAATCAACGTTTGACTTTGCCATAGCATCCGCCAAACCTGCTACACACTTTCATTATATGGCCCTGACGACATTTGGTGGCGTTTGTTAATCGGAAAGGTAGTTCTTTGAAACCTTTGGTCCTTTTCTTTTCGGTGTTGTAATCCTCAACCAGTTTTTTCTGATAGGCGGCAACTCTCTCCCAGAATGTGGCTGCTTTTTGCCCAGTTCCAACTATAGGGTCTCGGGTGACGTTCAACCAAGCGACACAGAGAAGCTTGTCTTCCTCAATTGTCCAGAGCGGATTTTTTGGCTTGGTGCCATCCGGTTTGGGTGTGTTATCCTTATCGGTTTGCTTCTGGGGTGAAGTTTGAGTTGGTCATGGTGGGTCTTGTTGTTGTTGTTGGTGTTTTGTGGAAGTGTTGAAAGGGGAGGAGGTGTGTGATGGCGGCTTGACCAGAGCTGCCAAAGCTGGCAGCCTATGGCGGGTTTGATCAACACCCGCGAACTTTGGCGGCTCGTTCAGCAGGTCCACTGGAGGCCAAAAAAGCCTTCTGGGATGCCAAAGTTGGTCCAAGGTCGCGCAACAGTGGCTCCATTAGAGATGCTTTTACCTTGGGTCCGGGAATCGTCTGGTGCTTGGTGGATTGATGTTGCAGAGGCATATTCGAATCCATTCTGAACCTCATCCTAACAGTGGGTTTTGGGGGGGTGTTCTAACCGCCTAGGGTGTCCCAAGCTTGTAGGGGGCTTCAAGACAGTCAGTGTGTGGGTTGTGGAGGGAAATTCTCTCCGTTAGAAACAAACGGCAGATTGGCTCCTTTTATAAGAGCATTCACATTTGTTGGCTAGATTTTCAGGTTAAATAAACTCTAACTTAACTAAGTCCCTACCCTCCTTTGTTGGAGTGGTAAACCACCTGTTGCATTGTGCCGACCGGAGGGAGGGACTTATGTCTGAAGCTGACCCCGCGGGCTGAGAGCATTAGAAAGTTTGGCTGGGACATTTTCATAATCATCCTGACACAAATTTTTATGATTGAATTGTTCTATTTTTTGATTTTCTTGATTTCCTTGCTGTTCTCTATCTTTCTAGACGCTACCCATGTTCCCAGCTCATCAGCATGATTGCCAAATCACTCGCTGCATGTCTTTTGGGCCTTGGAAGATGCCCAATGGATTAAGATTGGCTTCTAGCATCTTCGACACAAGTGAGTTGTATCAAGCAGGATGTTGATAATATGCCGTTTCAGTTAGGTCAACCAGTACTATTGGAGGACTTCCTGCCGCGGTTTAGAGTGCTTTTTAGACCTTTCTCAGTCTTAAATTAAGAACACAATGAACATTTCAACCAGCTCATGTGAGAGCTATTACCAGAAGGCTTCAGGAAAAAAGAATTTTTTTGATAAAAATTCTGGGAGGGTTGTAGATTGTGACAGGAAGTCATCCATTATGTGTCCAAGTTTGGCAAGTGTGGAGGGTGTGAGTTAGAAAAATATGGCCAGAGCTTCCCATGTTTTGCATGTGGGTGGAATAGGCATGGGGGAGGTTTGAAGAGGACCCTGGCAAGCCCTAGGATAGGGGGGGTGTTGAAAAAGTCCAAATTTTGGCAAAATTCATACCTGGGGCCCTGCAGTGAGTCACTTTTTTTGAAAAATTCATATGGTCTTGCAAGCCCGTCTGGGCACAAAGTCAAGTCCCGCGTGGCCGAGTGCCACCAGGGGTTTGGATTGTGCCCAGAGGGCTTGATCAGACAGGATAGGCGGGGGGGGGGCAGGACTTGGCACATACCCAAGTCCCGCTGGGCCGATTTCAAGCCCTGGGCCAATTGGCAGCTCATGTGCACAAGCCCGGCACTGGGCCCCGACTCAGCAGCTGGCCTTCTCAGGGCCGGCATGTTGGCGGGTGTGGCACCCTCGCTTGATATCGGCCAAGCGAGGCTTTGTCCAAACCCCCACCAACTTTAGCAAGTGCCAATTGGGGGTTGGGATGGTGCCACAAATGCTTTAGGATTGGCCAAGCGGGCTTTGGGATTGGCCCAGCGCGCTTGGCCTTTTTTTGGCCAATCTTTGGTGTGTGCCCAGACGGGCTTGCAACACCATACCTTTTCAAGAGTATGCTCAGGCTAAAATCCCCTAAAAAAAGGGGGGGGGGCTCGGTAAAAAGTCCAATCTGGGGCCAAATACCAAGATTTTATTGGTCTGAACTAGGTTCTCATACCTAAAATGGCCTCTTTCATGAGTACCATTTTGAGGCTGTACATATGCTTGTTGGTTTATGTGGTCTGATCAGGTGATCATCAAGCCCTTTGGGCTCAAAACAAACCCCTGGTGGCACTCAGCCAAATGGGACTATGGTTTGTGCCCAGACAGGCTGAAATACCATA